TAAACCAAAACTTTTCTCAAGAATATTAGCAAGAAAAGCTCTCAGGGAATAACAGTAATCTTTATCCTACCTAGAATGCAGATTAAAATATGGAATTAAGTTATTCCAACTATAGAATATAGAGAAAATAATTTTTACAACATTAGAAAATATATAATATATGTTTTATTTTATAAAGTAATTAATGCTTTATTAACTTCTATTTTTAAATTACACTTTAGTTTATAACCATATATATGCATGTATATGTACATATATGCATATGTGTAGTAGTTCTGGGTATTAAACTCATCTTTACATATGATCGGCAAATGTTTTAAAACAAAAATGTATGTTTTGAAGTTACAATATTGTATTAGTAGGGGCTGAGGAGATGGCTCAGTGGAATAGGTGCTTCCCTGGCAAGCGCGAGGGTCTGAGTTCAATCCCTGGTTCAGCCAAAAAAAAAATTGTATTAGTTAATATTACTGGATTGGAAACCTAAAGACACATTAGAAGGTAATCCCAAAAACTACAAAAATGGGAAAATTTTCATGGTAATTTTATTCAATGGAAAAATTAATTTTCATGGAAAATCAAAGTAACACATATTCTGATAATAAATTATGCTTTTATCAGATGCATAACAGTGTGAATCTTCATTTGTGTGTCCAAAACTAATAAAAGGTTTATTGAATCAAGAAGTTCTTAGCTCAGTTGGTCTGTCTATGCTATATTTTAAAATTTGATTTTGATAATATGTTAAGCATAACCACTTACATGTTCTTTTAAAGACCATACATATTTTGTGAGGTGTGTGTAGTGTAGACATTTCCAAGTTGTTTCTTTCTATGTACTTCCAGTAGAAATGCTGAGGTCTAGTTTTGCTCCAATTCTTCATGGGCTGTAACTCACTATTGAGTGCAAACTCGTGAGCTCTTGCTCTGATGGAAGAATGAAGGCCTTAAGAATGAACATGTGAGGGTCAGCCAAGTGGCTCAGCAGACATAATATCTCCTACAGTTAACCCACTACTAACATGGACTACTGGACTATGTTGGATTGTTTGTCTGAATTTACATACCTACAATATTTAAATGACAATGGAATACCCATCTCTGACAAAACTAAACAAAAAAAGGGGCTACAAATGAAAGACTGTTTTGTATCTGTATCTACAAAATAGTTAGGATAGATATGCAGCTACTTTCTCTTAGTTCAATGAATAGAAAGATTTGTACTCATAGTGTTTGTGGACAGTGTATCATGCTGCATTTTGTACCATGAATAACCACTAAGAAGATAACAATATGTAATGTATTAATTATTGAAACTGTCCTACTAATCGGTTTTGCAACTGTCTCATTGCTATTTGTTTCTCAATAAAATTATTTTTAAAAAATAAATAGTTCAACTGATTAAAGCACCTACAAGGTGGCACAGCAGCCTGCTGGGGATTCAATCCCTGGGCCTGCTGTGCTGGCCCCGCCCCTGGGGCATGCTGAGATGGCAATTGAGACTGGGCGTGGTGGCTGAGATAGCAGTTGAGACTTTAACATGTTTGGTGGCCTTTCAAGGAATACTCCCTCAGTGGAAGAGCAAGCAGTGTACAGAGATAGTTTCTAATTAACTTACATTAAGCACTAGTAATTGAAATTATCTCTTCTTTGTCCTTTAACTACAAGATCTTCCCTTTCACATTATGGTAATTTTGGTTTAAACTGGCAGTCATTTGCAAGATATATGTCGCTTTAAAATTTGTGGTGTAAGGGCCTGCTAAATAGCTCAGTGGATTAAATGCGCCTGCTTAGGCAGACACGGGGGTGGGGAGTTTGCTCCCGGGCCTGCCATGCCAGCCCCGCCTCCGGAGTGTGCTGAGACGTTTGAGACTGGGAGTGGTGGCACTTGCCTGTAATCCCAGCCCTTGGGAGGCAGTAAACAGGAGGGTCACTTCAAGTCCATTCTAAGTAGTGAGACTGTACATCCTGTACACCCTGTCCTAAATACAAAAAGAAAAAAGAAATAAAAATAAAACTTGTAGTGTATTTATTTGTTAGAATCTGGTTTTAAGATAATGAAAAAGCCAAAATTTGTCTTTGTAGTCAGTGATATCTGAGAACATAAAGTCCATAATGGATTTCAAGTTTATATTTCAATTTTTCATTAATTTTGGTAGTGTAAAGCATAATTGTGTCTGACCACAATAGCATGTGTATAAATTTATGCATTTGTAAACTATGAGTTCTAATTTAAGATCATGCATCAGTAAACAAAAGGTAGATACATTTCATACTTTACTACTATTATTTTGAAGAATGTATTACTTTACAATTTGTTCTGTGACTTTATTTCTTTTTCTATATGTGCTACCAAAGCCAGCATTCCTTTTAAATGTGGTTAGGTTATATTACTTAAAATAAAATAATTGTACCTACATTTTATCTTAATTATTCAAGGAGAATTGAAAAAGTAGAATAATAAAATCTGGCAAATATGTCTATTGAAATGCTTTATGTTCTTCTAGATACTATCTCCTTTAGCTAAGGACAACTGTCTCAAGTTACATAAATTTCACCTTCTTAATATTTTTATCTAGTATCTTTTTCATATCTGAAATGACTTTAAAACTTACTGCATTCATCCTTAACCATTCTGCAAAAGAAACATAAATTACTAACTGCATTAGTCTAGGAAGCAAGATGCCTCTTGCTGATGCCATGAGCTTCTGTGGAGGCGCATACAAGCTGTTCCTGACATCACAGCACAGGAAAACACTGCCAGAGCTGTTGTGCGGCTGCGGGCCCAATTCTCCTAGAATTCTAGGTCTTGACAGCACAGGTGTGGACTCTGCTTACGTAATGTTGATTTTGTGCTTGCTGTAAACACAGAAGTTACTATCTGTTAATAGAAAATCAAACTGCGCCAAGGGTTTTGAGGTATGCTTTGAGAGTATTTACAAGAAATAATTAACTGTCCTATGGATAACCCACTACTATTATGGACTACTGGACTATATTGGAACATTTTTCTGAATTCATGCACTTACAATATTTAAATGACAATGGAATACTCATCTCTGACAAGACTAAACAAAAAAAAAGGGGGGGACACAAATAAAGGACCATTTTGTATTTGTGTATACAAAATAGTTAGGATAGGTATACAGCTACATTCTCTTATTTCAATGAATAGAAAGATTTGTACTCACAGTGTTTGTGGACAGGATATCATGTCTGCATCTTGTACTATGAATAACCACTAAGAAGACAACAATATGCAATGTACTTATTGAAACTGTCCTACTAATCGGTTTTGAAACTCTCATTGCTATTTGTTTCTCAATAAAATTAAAAAAGAGAAAATTAAAAAAAGAAATAATTAACTGTCACCTAAATTAGATATTATTATAGTTCACAAATATCGATTTCTTTATCTCAGTAGATAGATATAGATAGATAGATGGATAGATAGATAGATAATATTTAAATTAGTAGTATAGCCAGGGAGCAGAGGAATAACTATATTATTACATATAATAATCAATCAACTTAGAATGAGTAGCCATGTTTTAAAGAACCAAGAAAGATTCTTTGTTCAAAATCTGTCCAGAAAACACATTTTACCCAGTGGACAACTGGTTGGCTTCTTTCTTTCCAGCTAGTCATGTCATTGACTAGTTTTGCCAGCTTAGTATGCTACTGCTTTGTCTCCCTGCTTTCTCTCACTGATTTGCAGCTGGCTCGTGTCCAGCATCCTCTGGTTCCCTGATATCTCTCTTCATCAAGGAAAGGTGTAGAATGAAGCAGATACAATAAATGTGGAGCAGTTGCACATGGAGTATTGACTGAGGCACAAATATGAGGTTTCCTTGAAAGGGTGTAACTTAGGCACAGAATGTGTTTGTCTCTAGTTCTGTGCAGCCTGGAAAGGTGCACAAATTAAATAACTTAATGCCATGGGTCTAGCGTGAGGTCAGGAGATGGACGTTTTACCCACAGGTCTGCTGTGAGCTAGCTCACTCTGCTTATCTGTAGAGTGAGACAGCTGATCCAGTTGGCTTTTAAATTTCCTTCTGATCTAAGACTAATATATCTTAATGGAAAGCACAAGAATTTTTGGTAGTAGATCTGTGTGCCAAATAATGTCTCTATGAAATCCCTAACATGTGGCACTTGGGTCACTCTACATGACAATTTTACCTCATCCAAAAAATGAAATAGAATTTTTGTATATTTTATAAAGAGATATTACTGAATCTGAAATTCTTTTTTGTCTCTGTATTTTAGGGAAGGGTCTCCAGGGTGTTTAGGGTCTTACTACTAGATTGGACTTGTAGTGATCCACCTGTTTACAGACTCCCAAAAGGTGGGATTACAGGCCTGCCCCACCACACCTAAGCTCACTTGCCATCTCAGCGTACCCCTGGGAGTGGGGCCGGCATGGCAGGTCTGGGGATCAAACTCCCAGCTCCTGCACCTGCTTGCACACTCTTTAATCTGCTGAGCTATTTGGCCAGCCCAAATAAAGGTGCTTTTTTTTTTTTTTTTGTTACCAGGGATCAAACTTGGGACCTTGTGCTTGCCAAGCAGGTACTAATGCCACTGAGCTATATCTCTGGCCCTGAATCTGAAATTCTTTACAATTAATCTTGGTTTCTATATTTTAGTTGTTTTGTTTCATTTTAGTGATATGGTGTTGTTTACCTTCTTGCTTTCCAACTTTATCAGCTGTCAGTAGTAAAATGACTATATTGGTTAATAGTTATGAGCAGTAACTATTCATGCCCTACACAGCACAGAAATGCTCAATACGTATGTAAACTTTTGTCCTAATGCTCGTGTGCTAGAGTTATTATTGGAGGCTTGCTTCTATGCCAGGAGGGCCAGCTGACTCTTACCACCATAGATGGCAGCCTAGGAAATAGACCAACCACACTCACTGTTGATAATGTTAAAGAAGTCCTGCTGTGTTTAAATTTTCTTGTGTTTTATTATGTCATCTTTGCTCTGCTTCTTTTGCAGGGTATCCTCAATGACTATACAGAGAAAATTTTATTCATCTTTAAAGGTAGGAAAAAGAAAACATCTTTGATGATATATTAAATTTGTCTTACTAGTTTCAAAATTTACTCCCATTATTATTTCCATAGTTATAGAATTGATGCTACTTATTCTAAGTGGAACATGTAGTATATCTACTTGCTAAATTTGAAATCATCTAACACAAAGTATTTGTCAGTTGGAAATTTCCTCCTATGCCCTTACAATTTACATTTTATTATAGAAAGAGTTTCCTGTATTTTTTTTCTTTATGACATTTTGATGTCTTGAAATATATAGAATTTCAAGTTCAGCATGGTGACCTAACACCATTATATAATTACACCATGCATCTTGTTAAAACAGTGAGACTCTAACATAATTTTATGTTTTTATTTTTATTTTCTAAATTTTTAATTATTTACTGGATACAGGGTCTCACTACACAGTTCAGGCTCATAGCAATCCTCCTGTCTCAGCATCCCCAGTGCTGGGATTACAGATGTATGCTACCACACCTGCTTTCCAGGTCCACATGGTGTGTGGTACTGGGGAATCAAACTGGGATGCTTGCACTTGCCAGGCAGGCACTTAAACTGCTGAGCATCTCCCCAGAATGTTTCTTGTTATTCCAAAATTATAATTTTAAGGCAATTATGCAAATGATCATATATAATTTTCTATCAATAATTTAACAACAAAATGTTAATTTGGAAGAATTTGCTTCAGTATTTGCTTTACTCGAAAGTGTAAAAAACATGCACCTTTTCTTGCTTAAGGCATGTGTGAAGATAAATATGGAATACCTTCCTGGTAATAACATAATTGCAGGTATTTCAAATGAAATTGTGTTAATTGTGGTGAGCCACATGCAGATTTTCAGACATGGGTCAAAGCCCCACTTGCACATTCTAGCACCTTTTGTTCTAATCTGGAGTAGACTGCTCCATGGCCCAAAGAGCAGAACAGCACAGAGCAAGGACATAGGACAAAACCAAACAACAGTAGCATAAAGGCTAACAATGGGCCAGCAGACTGTACTTACTTATTCCTTGGCTATCATCTCTCAGGCATGCTGTACATTTGTAGAGAATTGTTTTCTTCTCTGATCAGGAGATTGTGTGACAGACACATCTTGGTACTGCTAGGACATTGGGTTCTTGTCGATAATGTGCATGTAATAGCTTCATTCTTGTCTAGTCATGGAACTGAAATGAAGACATGTGAAACAGAAGCAAAACACACTCTATAAAATGAGTCTGTGATGCTCCTATGGAGAGAGCCTGCAGTTTGGGGTGGTGTACTCAAGTGGCTTAAGTGGGGACCCCAGAGATTGTATCGAGCTCCAGAAGAGCCCCAATGAGTTGAGCTGCAATGGTAGAAACCTCACAGGTCATTATTTTCTCTGTTATGCTCTAAATATACAAGGCTCAGTGGATTAAAGTGCCTGCTTAGGCAGACACAGAGGCCAGAAGTTCGATTCCCAGATCTGCTGTGCTGGCCTGGCCCCCAGGGCAAGCTGAGACAGCAATTGAGACTGGGTGTGGTGGCGCGTCCCTGTAATGCCAGCCCCTGGGTTTACAGCTGGATCACTATGAGTTCGATCTACACACTGAGACCCTGTACACTCTGTACACCCTGTCCTAAATACAATAAATAAAAAAATAAATCTACAGATGCCTTTGTCATAAAGCATTGGATCATTTTCTGAAGAGTGACCATGACTTCATGATCTGATGTAATTTTTGTAAGCTTTCTGCTGTATAGTCAAAGGGAATGTTTTGTTTCCATTTACTAGTAATTTGAAAAAGGTTAAGCAGATTGCACAAATTTGTTACGCTCTGACATGTCACTTTTAGTTGATCATTGCTGATTCTCTAGTTTATACACAAAAAATATTAAGGCTTTCTACTTATTAATGAAACTATACTTTAGACTTTATTTCTAACAAAATTAGAAGCTCATCAAGGTAAAGACATACATTTGCAATGTCACAGTTCACTAGAATTTTATTGTTCAGAAATTTAAACTTACATCTATAGATAATGTCTGATCTCCAATGTTTTCTAGAAATTAATTTTTTAAAGTCAGCAGCTGTGCTTGTAATTCTAAAAGTGGGAAATTGATGGAAAACACTTTGTGCTTATATTTTTTGCTCAAGTTATCTAAACTTTAAAAACAGTATCATAATAATGAAAAATTACTGTGTGCCTCAAAATGAGGTACTGCTAAAATTTTAGTGTTTTCATATTTTTCCTCCATATACAAAATATCAGTATCAGTATGTTCACATACTGTTTTTACACACTGCTTTTTATTGATTTAATTATACATATTCATCTAAGCCAACTTATTATCCATTTCCTCCTATTAATGCTTATCTATTAGACAATCTTGAGTATGCCATGTTTTATTTAAAAAACTTTCTAACCTTTTTTTAAAAATATGGAGATTTTCAAATAGAACAAAAAGAGGTCTTCCTTAATTACACTTTTGGCAGGCTTACAAAATAATAATTCCCACTTGTTCATGTGATCAAGAAAATAAAGAATGAAGATAAAGTGTTACAGTAAAGAAGCATAGCAAACAGTATTTGCTAAGTATAAAACAGTGGCCAGGGAAGAGGACAATTCAGTATGTAGATGAACATGAATGGGTACAGTAGGTGTGTGAAAGTGAAATTTGCCAACTTTCTCCATGTTTGCTTGCATCACCTCTTAGGGACCTCCAGCTCACCTCTGCATTCACTAGTTGTTATTCATCTCTCTAGTACTTCAGGGAAAATAGATCTCAGATGATGTCACATCCTTTTGTATGTATCATTTATCCCACTAGGTTTAAAACTCCTTGAGAATAGTAGCTGTGTATTATTCATCATGAATTAATGCACAGAAAAAATATTTGTTCAATTAAGTTGAATTGAAATTTGAGAAGGGAATAATCAATTAAAACTCTTAAAATTTTTGTAATGTGCTCATTTCTGCCTTTCTACTATTCCTAGAGAGAATTAGATACAAATGCTATGAATGTAATGTTTGGTATAGAATGGAAATTATTTTGAATTTAGTTTTAGTGATGCTGAGGGAAATCATGGTTGAAGTGATGTTTGAATATAATACATCGAAGTCAAATATTCTAGAAAACAGTACATAACGTTTTTCAATAAAGTATATAGTGCTGATATATCATTTCATGTGGATCTAATAGCATTGAAATACATATGACACTAGTGCAATATTATAATAAAATTGGCTCTGTAGGATAAAAATATCAGTGGTGATTTATAAAAGAAGATGTTATGTGAATTTTGTGAGAAAAAATTGAATATTGTTTTAACACCGTGAATAATGTACTGCTCATGCCTCTTGATCTTTGACATCATCTCGACCAATCAAAGTAGAGCTGTTGCTAGCTCAAGTCATTTTTGAAAGAACTTCTGATTTCACATTAGCCTGAATTCAATCATAAAATAAGTTTAAAATATGATGAACAGGTGTGTTGACCTCAGTTTTCCTCAAAGAAAAAATACAAATGGGTGGGAATCAAAAATTCTACTTCAAGAGTAATTTAATGCTTAGCGCATAATGCTCTTTTTCTTCATATGGCTTGTAGAAGTTCCTAATGCTAACTCTGATTTCATATAGTTTTTACTGGATAAGTCATCCAGTCATTGGGAAGGAGGAAATGACACTGGTCCTGGTTCCATTTTTCTTCTTTAGTTTCTTTCTTTATAGTAATGGACCAATAAAAATATGAATCAATTTTTATAGTAATGGATCAGTAAAAATCAAATGACTTGGAAAATAAAAATTAGACATTCTAATATTATGATACAATCTTTATTGAATAAACTTGATTTACTGGACCCTAACTTGTTTACATTCTTGGCTGATTATGACTTCTTTCCTTTTGGAGATCTATCATGCATTTTTTTTCTTGAACAGATTTATGCTGCTCTGCTGTATTTTAATCTTTTATTGTACTCTAAAATACTTCATTGCACTTAATGATATTTATTTATAGCTGCTTACATATCTCTCTTTCCTAATGAAACTGGGAATCAAGCTAGAAATAATATCTGTAAAACACTGTTTGAAGTAATCGTAAGCTTTCAGGAAGTTACAACTACAGCATAGAAAATGTTTTCTTCTGATCCATTTCTAAGTCACCGATTAGTTATCCATGCCCGTAGTTTATAGGTTGTACCTCCTACAATCAACAGCATGTGCATGTGACCCTGTGGGGTGTTTGAGAGGTAGATATGTGAGACCACAATGCTGAAGCCTCATGGTGTTATGCTTTTTTAATAAGTCACCAGACATCTATTTTCCTGTCTTTACACCAGATGAGGCTGTGGCAAAAAAGTAATCGCTTGGAAGCCAGGGGGAGAGTCCTAGCTGAGGTATCTGATCTGTTGGGTACTTGATCATGAACTTTATAACTTGCAAAACTATGAGAGATCTATTCCTGCCACTAAGAGCCAAGGCTGTGGCACTGTATTAATGGCTGTCCAAGTTGACTGGGAAACAGCAGCGATACCTTGCTAACATCTGAGTTTCACATTTTTTCCCCAAATTCTACTAGCTGTTCTATCAGTCATTCCAATAAATGTATGTATGCCAGATAGTAAGGATTTGTTTCCAATGAAGTAACTTGTTCATCAGTTGTACTTGATCAGTCTCTGTCCATGGAGAAAAATTCCACAGGATTTTACTGACTTCCATGATGGCGTATTTTTGAAGACTATATGCCTGTTTTTTTATATGCCTAATTTGAATCTGATACAAGGTCTGTGTTTTACGTGGAGGTGATGGTCTATGAATGCTAATCGGGAAGAGAATTCATGCCTGAAAATGTTGTGAACCTCAGACTTTGAATCACTAACCTAATGTTGATACGACATTATTTTAAAATATTGTACACATTTAAAAATAGGGTAAAAAGGAAACAAACTATAATATTCAGACTCTGATGTCTTCTAGTAGCACTGAGGTACTTTAATTTGTTTAGTGAGCATGCCCGTGGTAGCCACTACGTAAAGTAATGCTAGTTCTTTTAGGCCAGTGTTTCTCTAATTGCTATCTGTGGACTGCTTCCAGGGTCAAATGTGGCTTAAAGTTCAAACTAATGTAAGAACAGAAATTGGGAATGAGAATTTAGGAAACATTTTTAGCATTTTGGTAAAGATTTATTTTTGCTAAATATCACAAATTTAAAATACTGTATATTTTATTTTACTTTTATGATTATTAATTTTCACTGTTTTACATTAATATTGATCGAAAATTGAAAATTTTCAAAAAATTTACCATATGTCGTGATTCTTTTCCATTACTTTCAGGGGATCAAGTAGAAATGTGTATGATAAGTGCATAGAACTGGATTGCCTTGCGTCACCTTTTCATTGTCAAATGAGGAGTGCACACTAAAAGTTGGTCTGATTCTTCTGTGCCCTTTCTGAGGAGGTCGCTTAGAACTCACATGAAGGTACACTCTACCCTGAGGAGCCTCAAATGACAGTGTTAGATTTTAAGTCTAGTATAGGATGATCTCTATTTCTCCTGTATCTGATTTTATTGCATAGCTAAGTACTGATTTCAGTAATATCCCCCTCTATAGGACATTCTCTTGCTTTCTTTGCCCCTCTTGAGTGCATTGTTTTCATTAAATATGAGAAGTGTGGACTTTCCACAGAGGACAGAACACCAGTAAGTGCCTCTTACCAAGACAATGCTCAGTGCTATAATTGTCGCTTCTGTGTGACAGCATCCAAGTATAGCTTTCAAAATATGCAAGAGAGAATAGACATAAAAAGAAAAAGGGAATGATAGAAATTATAGAGTGATCATTCAAAATAATGGGGGAAATCCTGAAAAGAAGTAATATGGTACTGCTTTTAATTTAACTTATATTAGGACCATCTATCTCAGTAACAACTTAGTTCAAAATATATTTACAAATTGACATATTTATGATCAAGATGAGGATTATGAGTCATACAAGGTTCAAGAAAATAAGACAAGAGTGAAACAAAAGAACTTGTCCTAGAATGACATCAGTATTTTGGGATAAGATAGAAATGAGTATGATTTCAATAGTAATTGACTTGAGTACATCCTAGGGTTTTCTGAAGAAGCAAGGTTATAGACTGGTTTCCAAACCTTCTTTGGGAAGAAATGATGCCCACAAAGAATCTTGATGAAGATTAACCTAATCAAGAGAATAGAATGTGGAAGGTGCAAAACTTGAAAATCAGTATGCAGCCTAGACACTGGTATATTGTCAGTCTGACTGCATGCTTAGTAAATATTTATTCAGTAAATGAACAATTTAATTAGAAGTAGTTTAGTAACCAAAGGTAAAGGTGCTAGGCAGAAACAGAAGCATAAAACATCCTCATGAATGGAAGAAAGG